TCTTCCTCGTCGCCCTCGCCAGCACTCTTCCGGCCATGTCCGCGGGGCTAGTGCTGGGGGGCGCTCGCATGCGGACAGCCGCGGCTGCGTGCTTGCCGCCGGCGGGAGCCTCCCTGGCCCATGGGGCTCACAGGGCTGGCTTGCAGACGCCGACGCTGCCGGTGCTCCGGGCCTCGCCCGCGAGCCCCCAGGGCTCGAGCGGTGGTCCCAAGCCGCAGCAGCGGGCTCGGCTGGTCCAGTCGCCCGCGGGCAGGCCAGAGCTCAACGCGGCATTCGTGCGCACGGCGGCGGAGCGTCAGGCTTGCCTCTCGATGCTGATGGGTTTCGGCAACTGGACGAGACAGCATCTGGGGGCTATGAAGGAGCCTGCCCAGATGAACCGAGCGGTCTGCGACTACATCAGCCAGATCGTCGAGCGGGGGTATCACCAGACTCGCGCCAACCTCATGATAGCGGCGCTGGCATGGCGCGATCCGTGCTATGCCAGGTCGGGCCAGTTCGAGCTGCCGCTGTCCGAGCAATCCGCCAAGGTGTGGCGCAACCTGGCCCCAGCTCGCAGCCGAATGGCCATTCCGCGCGAGGTCGTCGCCAGGGTGGTCTACGGCGTGCTCCGTGCATTCGACCAGCGCAGCGTGGCCAACGCAGGGTGTGGGGCTGTGACCGCCCTCGGCCTCCGCAGGCTGGGTGCCTGCCACGGCCTCCAGCTCCGCCACTCAAGCCCATGCCACGACTACGCAGCGGGGCTGTGCGACCTGGAACAGATCAGGCGGCTTGGGTGCTGGAAGAGCTGGAGCTCAGTCCGCTGGTACGGAGAAGGAGCCCGCCTGACCGAGCAGCCGCACCAATTAGGAGGGCTGCAGCGAGAGCGCGCGGAGGCCTGCGCTCGCTGGCTGAGCCGTGCGTCGCACGGCCTGCCCTCAGCATTGGTGCCGGTCTGCCCGACCCGCCAGTGATTTTAGAGTTGTTCTCTGGCTCAGCAGGATTTTCGAAGGCGGTCGCTCAGCTAGGCATGCCTGTCTTGATGTGGGACACTACTTTAGGCGAGAAATACGACCTCGCCCGACCATGCAATCGCTCGACGCTCTTGTCTTGGATCCGTGCTGGTCGAGTCAGGGGTTGGCATGCAGGGGTACCTTGCAGCGCGCTGACCAGGTGCCGCGATCATGGGGTCGGGGCGCCGCCAGTACGATCCGATCTCCACCTCTTTGGCCTCCCGAACCTCCCTCCTCATTTGCAGGCGATTGTCGATGTATCCAACATCCTTAACAGGTTTGTTGCCAATCTCGCTGGTGTGTCACTTTCTCTACGTGTGCCATGGAGTATCGACAACCCTAAGACTTCTCGACTGTGGCTCTTCCCACGCTACAAAGCCCTAATGCGGCGCCGGGCTGTCTCCTTCCACGTCACCTCTATGTGCCAGTGGGGTGCGGCTTGGAAAAAAGATACTGGCCTTCTCCTCGGGGACCTTGACCCGGGGCCGTTCTGTCAGTCGCGTTGCATAGGATCCAGGCGTGGCATTTGCTCTCGTACGGGACGGGCTCACGAACAGCTGCATGGTTTTTTGCCCTCAGGAGGTTTCAAGACCAAGAGAGGGGCAGAGTACCCTCGAAAATTTTGCGTCGCCCTCGCTCGTCTCTTTCACAATGCCGAGGTCAGAGCTTCCGCAGAGGTGATACAGCGATCGTGTGGTTAGTGAGTCTCTTTTCTTCGGCGATGCCAGCTTGCTCTGCAAACTCGGGAGCATGTTTGGTGTTATGTTCTGGGGTTGAGCTCTCACCCCAGGACTTGAGCTTGCCTGTGCCTCGCTCGGCGGTCTCGACGGCTGGATTCCGCCCGTGCTCAGTCTCTTGCAGTTGCTGGCAGAAACAAGAGCCCAAAGGATGATGATGATGATGATGATGATGATGATGATGGTGATGTGACGATGGTGATGGTGATGGTGATGGAGATGGTGATGATCCCGCCCCTCCCCCCTCTCCCCCTCCTCTCTCCTGTCCCCCCCCCTCTCTCCTGTCCCCCCCCCTCCTCTCTCTCCTTTCCCCCCCTCCCCCCCCCTTCCCTCCCCCTTTCCCCCCCGCTCTCTCCTGTCCCCCCCCTCCCCCCGCGCTCTCCTGTTCCCCCTCCTTTCCCTGTCCCCCCCCTCTCTCTTTCCCCCTCCACAATTACTCAATATGAATACTACTCTCCTCCTTCCCCTGATGACGGGTTGGGAGTGTTCGCCCCCCCCCGCGTATTGTTTTTTACACACAGGATTCCCCGGAGTTGGGTTTTCGCTTGCATTTTTTTCAAAATGCTGCTCTCGCTGAGGCGCCGGCCTCATTTTCGGGCCCCGCTCGTTCCGAATCGTGCTCCCGCTGCAGCGCTGGCCTCATTTCCGTGCTTCCGCTCGTTCCGAATCGTGCTCCCGCTGCAGCGCTGGCCTCATTTCCGCGCTTCCGCTCGTTCCGAATCGTGTCCCGCTGCAGCGCTGGCGTCGTTTCCCGTGCCATGCCACGGCATGCGATGCAATGCTAGGTTGCGTTCCGCTGCGCGATGCCATGCCTTCAGCTGAAGCTGTGATATGCAGTGCTTAAGTGCCACGTCGTACTATGCCATGCTACGCTTTGATCTTCAACGCCATGCTGTGCAATGTTATGTTCGGGGCCGCTGTGCGATGCCATGCTTTGTGTTGCAAAGCTTTGTGATGCAATTCTTCACTACGCCACGCCACGCCATGCTGTGACATACTACGCTTTGCGGTGCTCTTCTACGCCATGCCATGCCGTGCTCTACAATGCATCGCGTACCCTTTCGGGATCATTGCCCTGCTCGACATCCGACTGTGCGAGTAGAGAGGGGATCTACGCCATGGTGAGGGATGGGAGGGAGGGGTAGGATGTCAGATATGACGCGAGCGCACCTAGCTTGCCCTCCCCTCTCTCCCCCCCCCTCTCTCCTGTCCACCTCTCCCTCTCCCCCCCCCCTCTCTCCTGTGCCCCCACCCTCTCTCCTGTCCCGTCCCCCTCCCTCACTCCTGTCCCCCCCCCTCCTCTCTCCTTTCCCCCCCCCCTCTCCTGTCCCTCCCCCCCCTCTCTCCTGTCCACCCAGGGGGGGGGCCGGAGAGGAGATTGCAGGGGAAGGGGGGGGGTGCAGGAAGAGGGGGGGGCGCCGGAGAGGAAGGTTCAGGGGGGGGCGGACGCGGGCCACGCAGCCTTTGCACGATGGAACCGCCACACGGTTAGCTCTCCGGACGCCTACCTGAGGCGTGTGCAACACGAGGGCCTCCGCGATGAGCGAGAGCCTGTCGCGGCCAAAGACCTCCTTCGCCGAGAAGGTGCTCCGGGTTGGCTGGTGGAACGGCAGTGCTGTTTGGTGGTAGGCGAACGGCTGCCTGAGGGCGTGTTGCCCCGCTGCCAGCGGCGTCGGCCCCGAGGGGGGGGGGCGGTGAGGGCGGCGCAGTTGCGCCAATCCACGCCTGCGGTGGCGGCCCTAGCGGTGGGCCAGCGAGCGGTCCACCCTCCTGCCCTGTTGCCGCCTCCCCCGAGGGTCCTGGTCGCGGCGCCAGCCCGCGCTGGTTTTCCAGCCAAGCCACGTTGGCGAGCTTCTGGGATGTCCCTGGGCTGATGGGCGTGGTCAGGAGCGGCTGCGCTGGCTCGTCGCTGCGAGCACCATCGCTCACTGGAGCAAGCCCCCGCGGCCCACACCGCGAGCCGTTACGGTTGCTTCTCGGCCTGGCTGTCCCCTCCGCGCCCCGCCCAGACCAAGGGGTCGGCTTTCGGCCGAGGCAAGGGCGGCGGGCCTGATCCATCAGCAGGGCTCCCGAGACCCACAGCGGCCCAGGCCCGGGCGGCCACGTCGGACCTCGCGGCGGTGCGACAACCTGGCGAGACGAAAAAAAACGAGGAGGGTACAGCTTCTCCGTAGTAGGGCCCCGTGAACTGAGGCTGGAGAGAGGGAGCGCCTGTAGGCCGGGAGTGCCTTCAGGCGCTCCTTTCGGCGAGGAGGAGGGAGTCCCTATAGGCAGGGAATGCCTTCAGGCGTGCCTGTAGGCAAGGAGGGAGGGAGCGCCTGTAGGCCAGGAGTACCTTTGGGCGCGCCTGTAGGCGAGTAGGGAGGGAGTGCCTACAGGCAGGGAGGGCCTTCAGGCGTGCTTGTAGGTTGGGAGGGAGGGAACGCCTTTAGGCAGAAGGAAAGGGAGGAGGAGGAGGAGGAGGAGGAGGAGGCGCCGTGCAGGAGCCGCAGGCGCGGGGGTCAGGAGGGCTCCCGAGAATCGACGACCTTTTCCGTCGTTCGTGCGAGCCCGTGGGACCCGTTCGATCGGTACCCTGCAGGTTTCTCGATGTTTCTAGCCTCTCTAATTTGGCCTCCTGGATGGGGTCCGGGTAGACTGGTCGGCAACAGCAGGCCCTGCAGCAATCACCAGCGGCACGCTGGCAAGCAGGCATAGCAGGGAACAGCATCCTTTAGCAAGCAGCAGTAGTAGCAGCAGCAGCAGCGGCAGCAGCAGCAGCAGCGGCAGCGGCAGCAGCAGCAGCAGCGGCAGCAGCAGCAGCAGTAGCAGCAGGCACGCAGCAGGAATCAATCAGCAGCTACATCAGCCGCCGCCCGCATCAGCAGCAAGCAAACGCACGTAGCAGGCAGCAGCACTCGTAGCCAATACCAGCTACTAGTTATCAGCAGCACCCTGCAGCCAGACGCAGCAGCAGCCAGTGGCAGGGGCATGTATGATCAGCAGCACGCAGCAGCAAGCAGGAGCACGCAGCAGCAAACACGCAGGAACTCGCGGCAGCACCATGCCACGAGAAGCAGTTGCGCGCGGCTGCAGCAGTGGCACGAAACGACGACACCAACCAACAGTAAGTTACACCAAACACCAGAAACGCAAGTAGACGGCAGAGTGCGGACGAACCAGCACTGAAGCAACCGAGCAGGCCAGCAGGCTAGGCATCACACAAGCTGGACAGACACCATATTGTATGCGAATGAGTTTTCGTGGCTGGTTGTCTATTTGTCGTCCCTAGTCAGCTACAGCGCTGGGATCAGGGGCTGCGAGACAAGTGGGCAGTGGCAGCGTTCTCTGTGTTTATTCAAATGCTTCACGCAATCCATTGGCCCACCTTGTATCATGATTGTCATTTGCTTTGCTGGTTGTGAGGGCAGGAAAGTCCGTGTAGCTTGCAGTTGTTCCTTCGCTGTCGAGTGATGCCCGCGTCGAGGAAAGCATGGGGGTTAGTTAGAGCCTTGCCCTGGCCACCAGAGGCGAGAAAGCCAAGCTCATTGAATAACATCTCGTTCTTCCCCTGCGTTCCGCTTTCCTGAAAGCCCCCGATGGAGATTTTTGCGACCAAATCTTAGCTAGTTTGACGTCCATTGGGCTGGCTTGGGCCCCCCCTCTAACCATCTAGGAAATATTGGGGCCTCCTTGGGCCGTCCTCGGGCCAGCATGAGAGTTCTTTAGAACATACGATTGCATTTGAGGATTGCCCCAGTTGTATGACCAGTGGCAATAAGCCGCACAGCAATCACACTACTGTATCACCAGACTGTGGAGGATGACGGCAATCGTTTTTCGATGCCGACCTGATAGAAGACCAAATATGTCAATCAGGGAGGGATCGTTGGCTGCGCCCCAGATCTAACTTTGCGATGTTTGGCAAAGTTGAGAGCTACTTCCGTCTTCATGAGCCCCAGAGGGGATCCAAAATAGTTCAACTGGGCGCCGCGGTGTCACTGATATGGCCTCGGGCTCTGGGAGGCTCATGCCTTGAAGACTGCCTCATTGGCTCCGCTGATAGCAAGGTGGCCCCGAGATGCAAATCGACCCAAAGGGCCCCGAAACGGCCCCAAGGCGCCTCTCACCCTGCCCAGGGCAGCCCTCAGATGTCCAGAAACTCTCCAGACGGCCCCAAGTCCCTTGAAAAGAGACCACGAGGCTCTCAGGGACCCCGAGACGGCCCCAGGCCCCAAGAGACCTCAACAAGGCTCCGAGAGAGCTATAGAGCGCCCCGAGAAGGCCTCAAGATAACTCCGAGAAACACCCCCCCACCACGCACGGGGGCCAAGAAGCCGCTTGCGGCTTGCGCGATGATCCAGCACGTCTCAACTGACGGCGGGCTAAGTGAGGCACCCACGGCCACCCTGGGAGCCAGAAGGCGAAAAAGTGGGGAAGGATCGGCGTCGCCCAAACATATTTCTAGCACTATATATGCGTCGCCCCCAAAGGGGGCGACGCGCGCGCTCAGGAATCTGTTGTGTAGTCGGGTTGTTGAAACTGCAGGTTATGCGCGGCGGGAGTGGGGATGTTGGGTTTCCCGTTCTGGTCTCTGTAGCCACTGAGGCTCGAGACCAGGGGTTGTGACAGTGGGCCGTGTCCGGCCGAAACCACGCCCGCGCTAAGGGGAGACACCGCGCGGCGACGGGGCCTTGGGGGCTCGTTGTGCACGCCGCGGTGGTCCTCGTCGGCGGGGTGCAGACGAGCCAGGCCAACGGATGGCGGCCGTTCGGCCGAGGGCTGAATGGCGCGGATCCCGCGCCTTCGGCGCCCGAGCCAGCGAGGCGGGCACCTGGGCCTTATCCCCCCCGGCGTGGTTCCCAGCCCGATGGGCGAGGGGCGCCGGGGGCCGGGGAGGAAGCCGCGGGGCTTAGAAAGGGGCGGCCGCCCCCACCGACGCCCGCTGCCAGAAAGGTGCTTCGCCCGGGTATCCCGACGGCGACCGCTGCCGCCACTGCGGCCGCGACCTCGGGTGCGGGGCGTGCTGTGGAAGGGGAGGGGGGCCCCGCTGGAGTAAGCCGAGCCCCTGGGCGCGGGCGGCGCAGGTTGGCGCGCCTGGTTGCCGACCGTGCCGACTTGGCGGTGCGACGAGGAGGTCGGGGCGCTGGCGCCTGGCGGGCAGCCCCCCTCTGGGCCTGGTGAGCCCGCGCCAGCGAGGCCTCGGGGATTCGCGGCCTGGGCCTTCGAGCTCAGCGGGCCGGGGGCCCGGCTAAGCGCGCTGGGGCGCGTGGGCACGTTCCGGCAACGTGGGGGTTGGATCGGGGCTGCGGTGGACAGCTTGGGCATGAACCATTTGGGCTATTGGTGGGGCGCAGCCGTCCTGCGCACGGGCTGTGTTCGCGTTCCTGCTGGGTGCTGCCGCCTACTGAATCAGCGCGATTCTGGCGCCACTGGCCCTGAGCTATGTTGGGGTCTCTCGGGCGACGGGACAGCGTGCGGCGCGTTGTCGCCGACGGCCCGCGGGGCCAGAGGCAGCTCCCCCGCCTCCGCCGCCCCCGCTTCGGCGGGCGCGGTTCCGTGGGCCAGGGGCGGGTGGGGGCACCGAGACCGCCTACTACAACAGGGGGGTTGCGCGGCTGGGGCTCCATCCACGCTCCGAATCATCTGCTGCTGCGCAAACGCGGGCAGGTAGCATGCGTGTCCTGCGTCTTCAGCGCAGCTGTGGGCCCAGGGGGGGCGCTGTCGAAGCCGCGCCTTGATCGACGTGGATTGACGGTGCATATTGAGCTGGGTTGTACGGGTTGCACTTGGAGGGCTACTTTGGCTGTCGGCCAGGTACGTACGCGATGCACGTTGGCCAGTGCGCAGCCATCGACCGTGCGCAGATCGTGGACCTAGGGGGGCATGGAGCGCCGACGCCGCGCCGAGCCGTGGCCGTGGGGCTGCGCATGGTGGGCGCTTTGGTATGGTGGCTGCTCTCTGGGCTAGCGCGGTCCCCACTCACGTGGATGTGGCGTCCCCACCTGGAGCCCCGCTGCGTTGACGATGCTGCGGGGGGCCAGCCCTTGGCCCCAGACTCGGCGAGTGAGAGCGAGGCAGAGGAGCGACCGCGCCAAGCGGCGAGGGTCGGCGTGCAGCTGGCTAGCGGGGCCCGCCCGCTACAGCCGGGGGGGTGCTCGAACCGCGGGCTAATGAAGCCCGCGGTCCTACGCGGCGGTGTCCGACTTGCCCGTGCCGCGGGCTGGGAAGATGGTGCAGATCTGTCTGTGCGCCCATCGCGCCCAGAAGTGCCGCTCGACGCAACTGGGTCGCAGATGCAGCATGCCAACGTGCCATCGGGTGGCTCGTGGAAAGTTCCATGGCGCTCCTATGTGCGGGGAGCACCTGGGGCGCGGCAGTGGCGAGCCACTGCGGGTGGGCGCCCAGGGCTCTTCGGGGGCTACGGAATCGCTTGCGCGGGCGGGGAAGTCCTGGGCCGGCGAAGGATTGGGCGCCCCAGCCGCGGGGGCACGCGTCGCGCCCCGCCGGGCCGGTGGCGACCGCAGCAGCGCGCGCCTTCCAGTGCGCATCCCCGGCGACGGTGGCATTTTGACGTCCCCGCGAGGGGTGGCCTTCGGCAAAACCACGCTGGGGGCCGATGCGGAGGCGGAGGCATGCGGCGGTCACCTGCGCGGTTTGGAAGGGCAGGGCAAAAGACCGAATGGGCCCAGACGGCCCAGCCGGGTGGGGGGTAGCGCCGAGCAGGTGCGCGGGCTCAAAAGAGAACGGCGGAGCCCCTGGCGGGGCGGCTGCCGCAGGGGCGGGGGGGCGGCGAGGGGGCGCGCGCGGGGCCGCTTAGAACCTGCTTCGCAGAGCGGCCAATGACGGCTGCCAGTAGGGCACCCGGCGAGCTGCTACCAGTGGCGACTGTAGGACCCCGACCAGCGCTGCCGCGCGGGGTCGTTGCTGGGCCGGGGGGAGTCAGCAGGCCGCTTGCCTTTGTCGTGCGGGGGGGACCTTTCCCTTTGCCTGTCTCCTGCTCCCATGGGGCGTCCCAGACGACGTGGCTGTGCTTGCTGCGGCAGAGGGCGCGGACGTCGACGTTGGTCTGGATAAGCTGAGACACGAACTCTTGGCAGGAGTCCGAGGAATGGCGGCCTGGGTCTCTGGTGGGCGCTGCGTGCCCCATGTGGTGGTCGCATATGGCGTTCCAGCCAATGGTCAACATGGGACCGCATTCTTTCTTGAGAGGATTGACCGCCTCCTGACAGGTTTCCTGCCGCTGAGCGGTGTAGTTCCAGCGGGGGTGTCAGGAAATGGACTGGCGCGGTTTGAGGTACAGTCGGTCGTGGGAGTTCCAGTGGGTGGTGTAGTCGCGCGGCAGAGTTGGTGCGCGGGGGGGGGAGGCCAGCCTGGCGCCAGGGCGGCCACTCCTGGGGGCCCGGGTCTGCGGCGTTCGGCAGCACAGGGGGCCTTGCGCACAGGTTCATCTTCGTCGCCCCCGGGAGCGCGTCCGTCGGACAGCTCGGCTTGTAGTTCCGGCCCGTGCGCAGGGCTGGGTCCTGGGGTCCACCCGCGGGCCGCTGCGGGGGCCCGCGTGGGCTGGGCGGTGCCCCGTCGTTGTCCTGGTTGGTGGGGCTGCCCGGGGGTCGCTGCTCTTGGTCGCCGTTCCAGTCGCCGCCGGCCGGGCTGGAGCGGGAACGTGGCGCTGGGTGCGGGTTGGGGGACTTGCTGTCGCGCTGATGAGGGGCCGTTCCTGGGGGTTTGCTCGAGGCTATTGTCGGCCTCGGGCGCCCGCTCCCGCTGATGTCAAGGGGTGCCGAACTGGGCCCGCGCTCCGACGGTGCTGGTCCGCCGTCGGACTGCTCGCGAACCTCGCGCCGCGGGGGCGCAGGAGGCGGGGGCTGTCCGAGTCTCTCGGCGGGGCCCCCACCTGGCACGGTGGAGCCGCTGGGCCCGCGGGTCGTCGCCGCGCCTGTGTCCTGAGGGTGGGCGGGGGCGCAGTGGGTGGAAGCGCGGCCGCCGACTGATGCGAGCGTCTGGCTCCTTCGCGCGCCTGTCGGCTTGGGCCTGGCCACCTGGGGGTCCTGGAAGCTGTTGGCGCCCCCCGAGCTCAGGTAGCCGATCTGAACATCATGTCTGGACCGCGCAGGTAGCTGGGCAGAACATCATGTTTGGACCGCCTGTTGGCCTGGTGGTTGCGGGTCCGTCGGTGCACATCTCATTCGTCGGGTCCGCTGGCGCCCCGTGAGGAAGGGCAACGGCGCTGGCGGTGCAGGTGGCTTACCAGCTGAGCCAGGGAGGCATGCGTACCGTTTCATGTGGGCCCCCCGGTACGCGCGCGCGCGCGCCCGTACTCGCGCGCGCACGCGCGCACGCACGCACGCACGCACGCACGCACGCACGCACGCACTCACACACACACGCACACACACACACACACACACACACACACACACACACACACACACACACACGCACGCACGCACGCACGCACGCACGCACGCACGCACGCACGCACGCACACGCACGCACGCACGCACGCACGCACGCACGCACGCACACACGCACGCACGCACGCACGCACGCACGCACGCACGCACGCACGCTCGCACGCACACACCCACAGGCTCACACACCCACACACACCCACACCCACACACCCACACACACCCACACACTCACAAAATACACACGCATATACCCAATACAACACAACACAACACAAGACAACACACCACGACACGACACGACACGACACAGCATAACACAACACAACATAGCACAACACAACGCAACATAACACAACACACACCACAACCCAACACAACACAACTCAAGACAAGGCATCACAACACAACACAGCACAACCCAACACTACACAACACAACACAGCACAGCACAACACAACACAATACACCACACCACAAAACCAACACCATCACTAACACCATCACCAACACCAGCACCAACACCAACACCAACGCTAACACCAACACCAACATCAACACCAACACCAACACCAACACGACACAGCACAACACAACACAACACACAACCCACACAACACTCCCTCTCTCTCTCTCTCTCTCGCTTTCTCTTTTCACACACGCATACACACACACGCACCCACACAAGGAACAAGCCAGCGATCTCGAGCGTTCTGAGGGGGCAGACGTTTTCCGTCCCTTGTATCGGCCCGTCTACACGCCGCTGGCCCGATGGGCTGGCGAGTTTTGCGAGATGTGCGAGCTGAGTTTGGAACCCGACATTTTCTGTTACAACGGTGTGGTCAGCGCCCTCGGGAGAGGCGGGCAGTGGTTGCAGGCTACGTCGTCGTTCAGGGATATGCTGGAGGTGAGTCTGGAATGCGACGTGCTCAGCTACGACGCTGTGATCAGTGCGTGCGGGAAAGGCGAGCAGTGGGAGGATGCCTTGTCGCTGCTGTGCGAAATGGGGGAGGCGAAGCTGGAGCCCGAAACCACTAGTTATAGCGCTGTTATCAACGCTTGCGAGAACGGTGGGCTGTGGCAGCATGCTCTGTCGCTGTTCAGGAACATGTGTGAGGCGAAATTGAATCCCGACATGTTCAGCTACCACGCTGTGATCTGTGCTTTCGGTAAAGGCGGGCATTGGCAGCAAGCGTTGTCGTTGTTCAACGAGATGTGCGAGGCAAAGTTGGAGCACGACGTCATCTGCGCCACACTTCTGCTCCCTGTGCGTGCGAACACGCACGGATGATAGAGGCGGAGGAAGAAATGGATGACGAGGATGATGGCGAAGAGTAGGACAAATATGATGGTGTGGAGGGGGATTCGAGTTCGAAGGGGGTGATGAAGTTGGGAAGGCAGAGAAGGATGATGCTGCTGTGTTTGCTGATGATGATGGTTGTGATGATAATGTCGATGATGACGATGATGATGATGATGACGATGATGATGATGATGATGATGATGCTGATGATGATGATGATGATGATGATGATGATGATGATGATGATGATGATGATGATGATGATGATGATGATGATGATGATGATGATGATGATGATGATGAGCTGCTGATGATGATGCTGCTGAAGATGATATAACTGCTTGCTGGTGGTTGATTCCCTAGAGGGCTGAGCGTCGTGCGGGTGTGTTTCCGCTCTGTCGTCCTTTCTGGCTCAAGTCATTTTGGCTGAGCCACCGACCCTCGCGGCCTCCAGGGCAGTGGATGCGCGCGGGGGACCCAGGGTGTGGTGTCCCTGGTCTTCCACGTCGGCTCGGCCTGGATCAGGGAGTTGGGGGCGGCCGCTCGTGTGCAGCGAGGCCTGCTCCCGACGTCATCTGTGGGGGAGCGGGTGCCCGCCCCGCCAGCGCGGGGTGATCCTGCGGCCGCGGCGCCACCCGCCCCCTCGCTGGCCCAGGAGCAGAGCGCGGAGCTGGAGGCGGCCAGGGTCGACTTCCACTGGGGCGACGGGGTCTCGTTCACTGACTCTGCCGTGCCAGGTCGTGGGTCGGCCGTGGGGGTGCACTACGGCGCTGGCGAGCTGGACGGGAGGCTCGTCGGCTCCCTCGTCGAGTACGGTGAGCTTGCGGTCGTGTCGCCCGACTTCGACGTCTGCGAGAGAGACCCGAGCCTCAACAACGGCGGCCGGGAGGGGATCCGTTTCTTGTGTTCGGTCAACGTGTGGCCGCGAGGGGTCCCCGCTCTCGGCTGTGTGCTCTACACCTTCGCGACGCTCCTGCCCGCCAGGGTCAACGAGCTGTCAGCAGAGGCGGACCAGGTGAGCAACCTGGAGCAGGCTCAGCGCGGCTCCCCGCTGGAGGGCGAGGCGGCCCGAGCACCAGGAGTCATCGCCGTGGTGTGGACGCCCTTGCCCGCACTGGGCCCTACGCCTGGAGCTCCCCGTCTCGCCCCGACAGATGGGGCGTGGGTCGCCGCGGAGCTGCTTGGGAACCACGACATCCGCGAGGAGTCCGCGCTGCCTGCGGGGGCTGAGGGGCTGGGGTTCCGCGACCTCGTGGTGATCGACGGGGGCGTCGCCGTGCTCGAGCAGCTGGGTGTGGGGTCCGACCTCACTCGCTGGGGGCTGGCGCAAAGCAACTCTCTCTGTGATGACCCGAGGATCCTGGCGCGGTCCCCGACGGAGCGGCCCCTGGCCGACGCCGCGCCCTCGATGACGGCGTGCCCAAGGGAGGAGGACGCGGTCCTCCAAGGGGCGATGCTGCTCGTGGCGGTGGTGGACGGGCTCAACGAGAAGAACCTCGTCGATGGCGAGCTCCTCCTGAGGCGGATCCCCGAGCATGGGGAGGCCGCGGAGGAGAGCCTCGAGACGCAGGACTACGAGGGGTCGGGCTACTACTGGGGATCAACGAGCGGTCGGGAGGCGCCCAGACGGCGTCCCCGCTCTGGGCTCACGCCGCGACCGAGCTCAGCGAAGAGGCAGTGACTCTGAAGGAGAAGCGGAAGGCATCGGAGGCCAGGGGAGCAGGCGTCACGGTCGTGACGGCCAAGGCGGACCCCTCGGCCTCCTCCACGATATGAAGAAGGGAGCAGAGGCGGCGGTGCCAGTAGCCGCCCCCGTCTCTGACATGATGGCTGGCGTGAGGTCTGATGGGGTCTCCTCCGACCGTAGTTTTGAAGTGCGTCGTCCTGGGGCCTGGCCTCGCCGACGGCAAGAAGCAGCAGGGGATCGGTGTGGCCGCGGTCTCTTTCCCCTTCCTGATGTTCCTCGTGCTCAACGTCCTGGTACCGGTACGGGGAGGAAGGCCCGGTTGCACCTCAAGCGCTGGAACGCCGTCCAGTCGGCGGCGCAGGAGGCGGTCGACGGCGTGAACTTGCTCTTTGGGTGCCACCCGCAGGAGCTGTTGGGGCCGACGCTGCGTGACGGGGCTGAGGCTGTGGGCGGCTGCAATCCTGTGCATAGTGCCATTCACCAGCACCTGTTCTCCACCATCGCTTCGGGCATGCCCGACCATGTACAAAGTGACCACGCCTCTTTCCGTGAGTTGGCTGGAGTGAATGCAGATTACGAGATGCTTGCATGCGCGGTCGAGCCCTATGACCCGACGAAGGTGCCCCTGCCAGAGGGGCAGGTGTCGCCCGTCGTCTTGGCTGATTTTGTCTCCCCCGAGCTCGGCCGTAGCCTCGACCTTGACAACATCTTGGCCGATGCCGACGTGGCCGAGCATCGTCTTCGTCTTCCCCATCGGGTCCCACACGGATGTTCGAATCAGAGCTGATGAAGATGTTCGTCTCAAGTTCCTCAGGAGCCAATATGACTGTGGGATATTGGGGTTCAGCGGGGCCTCGAAGGGCAAGATTACACCTTTCTTCGTGAAAGCGAAACAGGGCCCTCAACGGCTCGTCCTGGACTGCCGAAGGGTCAACCAGATGTTCCGTCACCCCCCTAAGCCTGAGATGAGTTCGGCCGAGAACATGCATGGGCTCGAGGCGCCAGACGAGGCGTCGCCTGTCTTCGTCGCCACGGGCGATATACATAATTGCTTCTACCAGTGCGGGGTACCGTCTGCGCTGAGCGAATACTTCAGCTTCGAAGCCGTGGACGCTAGCCTTGCAAAAAAGTGGGGGGCGACTTCGGACGTGCGGGGGTTGTCATTGCCTGATGTCGGGGAGGTCTTCCCGCGCTTGCTTGTGCTGCCGATGGGGTGGACCTGGTCTTCTACATCGTTCAGGCTCTGCATGCCGAGTTGCTCCGCGAGGCAGGGTTCGGCCAGGATTTGATAATGTCGAATGCTTGGCTCGCCCCCCCCCACCCCCCGTTGACCGACGACCCAGTTGCCCCACCGTATTGCGACAGCCTCGCTGTCTTCGGGATGTCCAGGGAGCGCGTCGACCAGCGACTTCGTGAGCTCATCGGGGTGTTCGAGGGGGAGGGCTTCGTGCTTCGCGAGATCTCCTGGGCCTCAACATCTTCGGATATCCCGGGCACCGCCTTTGACGGGGTCCGACGGACGTTGCGTTCAAGGCCCAAACGGGCCTGGACCCTTCGAGGAGCTCTTCGGCATGCCGCTCGAGGTGGGTCGATCTCTGGGAAGACCCTGGAGCGCCTCCTGGGCCACTACGTCGTCGAGGCCCTCAACCAGCGACCCGCGCTGTCGGTCCTGCGGGCCTCCTACGCCTTCACTCGGGACTGTTACTGGACCCCGAGGCCCCTGTGGGGCTCTGTCTGCCGTGAGCTCCTGGTCTGCTCCAGCCTGGTCCCCCTGCTCTCGGGCAACTTTGGACGCCCCTGGTCTACTTCTGCGCTGGCGACAGACGCCTCGGGGAGTGGGTGGGGCGTGATGGAGGCTGGCTTCGACGGTAAGGACGTGAAGGAGATCGGGGGGTGGAACGAGCGCTGGAGGTACGAGCGCGCGCCCCCGTCGGAGTGGGCGCCACGTCGACGTGCACCGGCGGCCGAGCTCGACCCCCTCGTCGACCCTGTGACGTCCGAGGCGGGCCCTTGGGACCTCGACGTGCTCGGCGGGGCCCCCTCGAAGTTCGCCTGGCGGCCTCGAGCGGCCGACCCTGAGATTCCGAAGGCCGCGATCCTGGGGCGTTCCTGGAAGTGCTGGAGGGCGTGGAGGTGCAGGCTTGAGGAGCCGATCGGTAACAAGGAGGGTAGGGCCGTCATCAGGGGAATGAGTCTGGAACTCCTGGACCCCTGCCAGCACCGCAAGAGGCGCCTTGTCCTTGTCGACAACTTCGGCGTGCCCCTTTGTTTCTCAAGGGGGCGCGCGGCCTCCTTCGGGCTCCTGCAACTGGTCCGCCGCCTGGCTCCCCTCTCGATTGCCGCGGGCGCATGGGTGGCGCTCCGTTGGATTCCAAGCGAGTGCAACCCCGCCGACGAGCCGTCCCGCCTCTTCGAGAAGGCTAAGGAGGCGCGGGCGACGCTGTGTGAGGTGCCTGCGGTGGGGCAGAGCTTGACGGCCCGTCAAGCAGCCGCCGAGCCATCGACTTCCTGCGGAGCCGCTGGGGCCCGACGGGAGGGCGGGCGCGCGGGCCGCCCCACCAGCGGTCTCGTCCGTCGACACGGCGCCACTCGGCGGAGGCCCGCCGAGGCCCCCTCTCCTGCCACGCGGCCGCCGCCCCCGAGTCTTGGGCGGGCAGCCGCGGGCGGGGGGCTCGGCGCCCGCGAGCCCGCGACGGTCGGCGCCAGGGGCTCGGCCGCCTACCAGTGCTTCGAGAACGTGTTCCGCGAGTGGCAGCGGCGCCGTGGCAGAGCCACCGACGACCTCGACGCGATCGAGGTTCTCCCGGAAAGGGCTCGAGCCCAGGGTTCTCTTTTAGTTGGTTCCCCCCGGTTTCGACGGCTGTAGGGCCGGCGAAATTATTCTGCGATAAATGACGAGGTCTCGCAGCGCTGGCGAATTACAAATTTGAGGATGTCCCTCGCGAAGCGTTTTTTTTTGTATTAAAAAATAGAATGTGTTGAGGCTGTCGCGAGCGACACGCTTGTTTTGCGTTCTAGTTCATCCTCTTCTGGGGACCTGAATTCAGAGGATCTCTCAAGTAAAATGCTTGTTTTCACGTGCCCAGGTCTTGAGGATGTCTCGAGCGAGACGCTTGGTTTCACGCCTCCAGGTTGCCCAGACAGATGTCTAGCATGAGGATTTGTTGAGGATGTCTCGAACCAGAGGATTGTTTTCACGTGTCCAGGTCGCCCAGGCGGATGTCGAGCATGAGGATGTGTCGAGGAAGTCTCGATCGAG